TGTGGCCAGCACATTTTTTGGTCCGGCCCGGTTGAAACCATCATATAGCATGATCATCAAGCATGTATTGTATGTCAGATTTGTGCCGAAAATGTAATTCTTTTGCAGCCTGCATCAGGCAGTGAGTTCAAGTTCAACGAGGCGCCCAGGATTAATTTGAGCAAGACTGAGCAGGATTGGGCCACGATTGTGCATGGGCCTGAGAGCGACTCTGAGATGGAGGAGCAGAACTTATTGTAGCTGGGCTTAGGCTTCCTGGGTTGCTCTTTATATAGGGCGGCATTCGGCGGCATGGGTTTGAGTTTGGGCCTTTCGGGATTCGCAAGCATCTTATGTTGATTTCCAACTCTGAGTGACCAAAGGCAACCAGCTGGAAATGGACAGCCTGATGACCGAGCTGACCAAGAACCTGAAGCTGAGGGTGGTGAAGGCGAAGACAATTCACTTCTTGACCTCAAACAGTTTGCAAATGCATTACGAATTCCTGGGATGCTCCATGTGAGCGACAATTGTTTGGGTCACATCCTGCAATCTTGCAAGTGCTGGCCTGCGCTCTTACAGGGCTTGCGCATGGTGGAAGTGCTTCTATGTCGACCTCTCTACAGAGAGCGCTTCTTGTACATTTGCGTCGGAGAGAAACGTGCTGCAGAGGACAACCTCAACAAGTGGAGTCACAGCTTGAAGGGTTTGAGGTGGCAGGCAATTTTAGAGTTCACCTTAGCGTTACTCCCGCTGGAAAGACTTCTCAGGCAACCTGGCTGCATGCAGAGTGTGAAGGCCTGTTCAACAAGATTCTTCCTTTTGGTCTTGTTCTCGTCTCGTGGACTCGTGGTGTCACGTTTTGGTTAAGACAACGACGAGTGAGAGCAGTGAACAGTGAACAGTGAACAGCAGTTGCAGCCGCATGGCCGCATGGGTGTGCTTTCGCCTTGTTCTCAGGCAGAGCTGGAACAAAGATCTATTCATGAACAAGACTGGAGTGACTGGAGGGGCCATTTTAGCAAATGAGAAGGACGCACTCCATTCTGAATCAAATCAAGAGTCCTTCGGAGTGACGGTTGAGAAGCTGGACCAGGTTTTGAAAGATCCCTGTTTCTGGGGCCACGTCCATCTGATCAGAAGCTGGACTGCAACTCTGAGTTTTTTGACTGGGTGTGGTGTGGGCCGTGGGATGGGCACCTAAAGATGTGGTAGCTTTGCCGGCTATACCAGCGATACCTTACCAACCAGTCTCAAACAACCGCTCTGCAATTCACAATGCAAATGCAATATTACTATTCACTTGGCATTTTGACACTTTTGGATCAAGACTAAAGCAGACTGTACTAGGACTCCGACTAGGACTAGTAGGACTTTGTATTGTCTTGTATTGTATAGATTTGGAGATTGAGACAGTCGATGAGATGAAGCAGCAAACGCATAAACCAACCAACCGCTCACTTCGGCCAATCTATAAGGCGATCTAGCTCGCGAAGCCAATGTCTTGGCTTCTTGGGCAGAGAAGTGCCCTTGCCATAGCTCTGAGAATTGCGATGATGATGGAAGTGATGAGAGCCCGTCTCAGCTGAAGAAACTCTGTCCAGGGCCAGTGGTCTCAGGCAACAGTTGCGGCTTTAGAGGCTGCAGAGCCATCGAGTTAGCTTCTGGCAAGGCTCTAGATCTGCAACGTCAAGAACTGATGTACGATCGCGATCCTTGATTAAATTAAAGGGCCCGGGCCGCCCGGGCCCAGGGTCTAAAATTCATCGCTCTTTCTTTTTCTTTCTCTTTTTTTCTCTCTCCTTCTCTCTCTTTCTTCTCTCTCTCTCTTTCTACTCTCTCTCTCTCTCTCGCTCTTGTGCCTCTCTTCCTTCCTCTCCTCGCCATCCTTTTGCATGCTTCTCTGTTCTGCTCTATCTGGACTCTGCTCACTATACTTTTCTGTAAATTTGCAACTTGCGCTTGAATTTATATTTGACAGAATTTTGTTTGGATTTGTTTCAATATGCTTGACATTTCGAACAGTTTTCTCAAAACTCAAACCAAATTTGAAGTTTTTCACACTTGAGCGCAAACAGCGCCATATGGACCGCCCCGCACCTTTCCATCTCAGGAGCGGATCCTGTATCATTGTTCTGGCGTTTCAGCAGAGGAAAAGGCTGCAATTCTCCAAGACTGGTTGGCGGCCAGATCTCGCCTTTGGAGCAACTTTTTTGCAAGGAGAAGATACGATTCACATGGGAGAGTATAATAACCCGGCACCGGCACCTATTCGTTTAGTATGCCATGATCCCCCATTAGCATATATATGTAGTTCTCACTCGAGAAAATGATAAGAGGAAAAAACGATAACGATGCTCATACATATACATTATATATATTGTTTATGGGACATGTTCGAAGCAGCAAGCTTTGCAGATGCAAGCTTTTCCCCGAAAAACAGATTTGAAGCTGGTGGTTGTAAGGTGATATCCCACAAAGAAAACACAATATGAATTGTTTCATGAGGGTGTGAAGCCAGCACTTGGAAAAACGATAAGAGGAAAAAAAAACGATAACGCGTAACGCGTGGAAACACCATTTGATTGATATCGGGGTTTTTAGACAGCCCCACATTGTTTTTGGAATCCTACCCTCTTAAAAAATGGAATTTGAGGGGGGGGCCGGGGACGGGGAGTCGTACTGAAATTTCATTTTAAAATTCCATTGTTGCAATCATGCTTTCTCAATAATCAATATTCCTCATCATTCCATGTCATTGGCAGGCAGATGAAAATTAAATACTTGCGCTTAGCTCCGGAGGAGCCAAGCACATATCAGACTGAAGCAGCACATGTGTAGGGATGGCATCCCTCCAAAAATTGCGCTGCCGTCATCATACGCAAGTATTTTCTAACCAGTGCCCAAGGCTTGTTAAGAAATGTTACTTTACAATTCCATTTGAGGGGTTGGATCACTATCCCAGGGTTTCCAAGCAAAAAAAAGTGGAATTCGACAGGTTGGTTTTGTCCCCCCCCGCCCTCCCCCTCTAGAGGGGTAGGGATGTTTTTGGTGTTTGTGTGGAACATGCATAAGCCAGGCCATGCTGCATCGGCATTTCAGTTCTCCTTCTCCTATATCAAACAACAACAACAACAACGACAACGACAACGACAACGACAACGACACCGACAACAACAACAACAACAGCAACAACAACAACAACAACAACAACCACAAGGACAAGGACAAGGACAAGGAGTTGACTTATTTTACATCCATCCAGAATCCAAGGTGAAATGTTTGCAAAGCTGCGTTTCTGGCAGTGCTTGCCATGGCTCCTGTGCAGCTTGGCTTACTTTTCGGTTTTGCAGCGAATTGTATTGTCAAAAGTCAAAACTAGCATGAAGCGTGTTTCACAGCTGTAGCCTGTCCTGCCAAATGTCCTCAGGCGGGCTTGCCTCCAGTGACCCAGTGGAAGTTCGCAATATAGCTTCAAAGGCATTGCAGGAGTTTGACGGCCTGCCTCCAGAACAACATCATCTCCAACATGCAATGACAAGGCGGTTTTGCCAGCCCGACTGGAAAGGCCTCGACAGTAACGGCGATGAGATCCCGTTGAGGCCATTTCTGGAACGGCTTTCCCGAGGCCAGAATCAGCAGTCTGCAGTCTGCAGTAGGGATGGTACACAAAGCCGATAAACACCATATCATGCAAGATAAACGATATATGGGGGTTATGGGGGACTAATGTTTTCACATCCCCCCCCTTTAACCCTGGAATTTGTCGGGGGGGGTAAGGCATGAAATTTCTGAGAAATATTTCACCTGACCGACACCTGAAATATACACCCCACGTGTTTTTTTGGGCTTCTAAAAGACGTGGGGGAGGGGTCTTCCGGATGCCACATTTTAGCCCAGAAACGGTATGACACACCATGACACACCCTTTCATTTTGAACATACATACATACTTACATACATACGGGTAGGGCCCACGCGCAAACACTGACAACTAGGTAAATGGTAACTGCCTGTTTCCAAGGAAGTAAATAAGAGAGTGAACTTGCCAAACAGCCTTCAGAACATGACGTTCAGCCTTGAATTCAACCACGCCCAGAGACCATTATAGACCAGATTTTTTTAGCTGAGTTTTCACCAGCCCATTGCACTCCCACATGTTTGTAAGTTGATGTCAAGTTGGTACCATGTGCCATGAGCTTTGTCAGGTTTGTTTTCAAGAAAACAATTACACATGTGTCAGTGTCCTTTAGTACATGTCATGACATGTGCTTCAGACTTCAGACCAAGTGTGTCATTGAAGCGCTCAACTGGAGGTGAACCACTTGAGACATTCTCGGAAGATGAGCTCGCAGAGTTTGGTGGTTGGGTTTGCCGCTTCCGGCATGTTACTTGGCTCTCTCATGAATGATTGGCAGTGCCAGTGCCAGTTTGGATTTGTTTTATATGGTTTATGGTTTTATTATGTTTTATTTTATATACATTTACATGCACTGTTCATGCAGATGTGATTGCCAAGCAAGGACCAAATAAGCAGTGCTTGTGGCTTGTGGGGCTCACATTTGAGCAAATGGTTTCACATTTTCATTTGGCTACCTGTTTCGAAGTCCTTGTTGCTTAGACATTGTAAAGCATCATCCTGAGCAAGTGTGTGTGTGTTCTGCAGCAGTGGAGCCCAGGTTCGGGTCATCGAACGTTCGACAGAAGGCCTTCACTCGATCGTGAAGAGGACGCTTGCTCGGGCACCAGCAGCTTCGTTGAGCTACCTTAGCCGTTAGCCTCGATCTGAGATTCTCCCAGCTTGTCCACACGGCCATAGTGGAACCGAGACTCTTTCAGCATGCCATCGAGAATCTATACAAATCATTGTCATCTTTGAGTGGCTTCCGGACTGCCGTTGTTGCAATCCTTGGTCTCCGCCAAGCAAACCTTCACATCTGCAACCTCAGGAGAGGCAGCTGGCGGATCTACTCTACAGGGATGATCTCAGCCTCAAGCACAGTACAGCTGGGCAAATTCGAATGGCCGTTGACAATCTCCTCCAGAAGAATGCAGCGGAGGCCGATTCTGGGGAGAGCGGCAAGAGGAAGGCAGAGGCTTTGTCTGCTGCCCTCGTCGAATTCTTGTTTGAGGCGCTTGGACTTGGGCCCCACATAATCACATGCTCATGGGATCCTGATCAGAAGCAAGCCTGGCCTATACTTATCGAAGGAAGTTTAGAAGTCAAACTTCCGACAATATGGACAGTTGAAAAGCAGAGGTGATAACAGTCAGAAGAGACAAGATCAGAAGAAAGAAGATGCAGGCTGATGCAGGTGCGCGAAAAGGTAGGAACGTCGTGAAACACTGAAAGTGGCGAAACACTGTGTTCCTGTGATTTGTGGCTCCGGAGTCCGGAGGGTCGAAAAGTAGGCTCGCTAAAGCGGCGGGTGCGGAGCCAGCTGGCCAGATGAGAGATGAAAATTTGCACGCCGTTGTGGTGCGAAGCACATTTTGCAGTCAACATGTACAAAACACACCAGGTTCGGACCACTTTTGGAAGTTGCGATGTCGAAAAAGTGCACGCCGTTGTGGCACGAAGCACATTTTGAAGTCAAAATGTACAAAACAAAGCACACCATGCTCGGGCTCGGACCACTTTTGGATGGTGAGATGCCTTCACTTCACTACACTACACTACACTGACATTGACACTACATTACCGTGTTAAACTAGATAGATAGATAGCTAGATAGATAGATAGGTGGTGGCAGTGGATAGATGGATAGATGGATAGATGGATAGATAGACAGACAGATAGATAGATAGATAGACAGACATACCATACACTACATTATACATTACACTAACTACACTTCACTACACCACGCTGCACGCTGCATTACAGAAGACTACATTCCACTACACCACACATTACACTACATTACACTACCTTCCACAATATACTTCACTACATTAAGACTGACTACACTCCACTCCACTAGACCACAACTGCCACAACTACAACTACAACCACACAACTACACAACTACAACACCCCACCCCACTAAGTACATTCCAAATTCCAATACACTAAATTACACTCCTCACTCACTACACTTCACCAAATATGGACAGATAATAAGGAAAGCAAGGCAGAGGCAGAGAGGAGAGAAAGATTAGACGAGAGAAGAATAGAAGCGAAAGAGTCAGCAAAAAGAAGATGCGGCAGACGGCAGATGCGCGAAAAGGTAGGCGGGCGCAGAGCCAGCTGGGGAGATGAGATAGATAGATAGATAGATTGATAGATTGATAGATTGATCGATAGCTAGATCGATAGAGAAACACAATGATGTGATGCAGCAGGGAGGAGCTCCACACTAGTATTGGTGGCGTAGCGCAGTGGGAACTCTCGCAGATACCCATTTTGGAAGCACGACTTTAAATGGAGCGTGTGTCTTTTCTGGTCGCGCTCTCGATTCTGCAGACCATGTTGACATGTTGTTACCAGTGTTCTCGTTGGAACGCTGGTGTGATGATGTTTCTTCTGACCCCCCATCCGTGTCGCGTCTAGGTTTTGCATCCGTTTTGTCTCCGACACCGATCATGCAACCGACTGCCGACGAAGGAAAATAACGCAGTGGGGCCCTCTGGCAGGCATCGGTTTTGGAAGCACAACAGGGAATAGGTGCCAGTGCCATTGCCATGGGATTTGATAGCTAAATCGATAGATAGACGGGTAACTAGATCGATGGATACATAGACAGTTCGATGTTTCGCAAGATCCATAAATACATCGAGAGATAAATCGAAAGATGGGTGGCTAGATAGAGAGACAGATCGATCAATAGACAGGTAGATGGAACGACAGATGGACACACAGATCGCTAGATCGAAAGATCGCTAGAAGCGTCCATGTCCAGATAAACTCATGGATAGCTAGATAGATCGATGGATGGCTGGAAGAAGAGAGAGACGGACAGATGCATGGATGAATCGATAGAGACACAGAACGAAGAACATGATGACATGGTGATGGATACCTGTGGACATGGCTTAAGAGATGAATGGAAAAAAAACTAACAGAGAGAATCAGAGAGAAGTAAGTGGATGGATGCATGGCTGGATAGACAGAAAGATGGAGAGTTTAAGAGTTAGGTGAATAAACACATCGAACGATAGCTACATGAATAGACAGGTAGAAAGGTAGATGGCTAGAAAGGTAACTCTGTAGATAGATGCCGAAAGAGAGAGACAGAGAGAAAGAGAAAGAGAAAGACAGAAAGGCAGAAACACTCAACCACCTTTCAATCCATCAGTGGGTTGGTTCTCTCTGCCATTTTTGCGCCACAGCAACTCACCTCTCCGACCTCTCCTCTCCTATAGGTTTTTCATTTTTGAAACTTCCGCCACCGCCTTGTGCGGTACTACTGGTACTATATACTACTATATACTATATACATGTTACTATTACTATTACTGTTACTATTACTAATATAGGGCTTTCAATCTGGTTTTGGTAGTGCTCCATTGGCCCCTTTAGGCTCTACTTGAGACTTGAGTCACTTGAGACTCGAGTCATGAGTCCAGTCCTGTCATCCTAACCAAGGGATTGCATCACATTATTGAACTGAATTGCATCAGATTAAACCGCATACTTGGGTCAGGAGTCGGGGACCGGGTCCAGTTTGAGAAAAGTTTCTGGTCAAGCAAGCCTCGGCCTAGACCCCTGCCCCACATCCACATGCCCTGGCCGCTGGCCCACACATACTTGCACGACTCCGACGCCGACTCCGAGCCCCACAAAAATTTGAGAAGGTTTAGTTTCCGATAAAAGATAATGCCCAGTGCCGCCAGTGCCAGTGCTGCACCCAGGTGTGTGAGAGAGACAGACACATTTTGGTGGCCTTCCCCCGGAACTTCATTGAAGACCGGCTTTGTTCCATGGAATCGGCTTTCTCTAGCAAAGCACTCAGCCACGGCGACGGCAGCTCTTCACAACTTGAGCGGGGAACTGGAACGGGAGATGACTTTCAGGAAGATTCACATGATCACGACTATGATGATGACGATGACGAGAACCTTTTGTTACCACAGTTTCAACCAGCAGCATCACGTCCATCAATTCCAGGCTGGCGGCTGGTGAAAAATGTTTAATTACTTTATCAGTATTATGCGCAGTTTGCGGCCCGATGCAGTTGGAGTCGGAGTTGCATGTAATTTAACATTTCACACTTCACTTCACACTCACTTATACTTATACTGATCATTGGACTCGGACTCGGACATGAAGTCATTGTTTCCCAGAGCCCAGAGGCCCAGAGTCAATGTCTTGTCAAGTCGAATCGAGTGTATTAGTGTATTCTGTTAATTCTGTTATGTTCAGTTAGTTCAGTTCACTCACTTGACTTGTGCAATAATTTTGTCATGAACTCATTGAACTCATGAACTCATTGGCAAGGTGTCTTGATATGTAGCAATGTGGCAATGTATGACTGCCTGCAATCACTGGCTTTCACCAACACATGTGATTCCGGTTTGTCTGCTGCTATTGCCAATGTTTGCTGTCATTGCTGCTGCCACTGCAGCTGAGTTATTACATGAATGAAGAAGTAAGAGGGGCGGGGTGTGTGTCGATGTGTCTGGTCAACTTTATCAAAACAACGGAGCTGAGTGGCACTGACCATTTGGCCATCTCAGATTTGCAGCCTGCAGGCGCAACACTTCATGGCGGTGACAATCACTTTGCTTTGCCGGCGCAAGAAACTGCAAAGAATTCACTGGACTTGACTCACCTGACCTTGAAGAATCAGAATGTTTTTCTGCGAATTGAGCGAAATTTCTATCAGCACATGACACTGCAGCAAAAGCCAACCGACTTTGACGTGCATGTGCAAATATTTGAGAAGCGTTGCGCAGAGTCAATTGATGGGCAGGAAGAGATTGCGCCCCTAGGGGAAGCTCGCTTGTGCAATCTCAAAGATGCATCTGCTACAGACTTGACACAGAAAGCTACTTTATGGACTCTGCAAGAGATCAAAATTGACCCTTTGGATGATTCAGATGCTGGGGATCTCCTACTGCAAATGGCTGAAGCCAAAGCATGGGGGTCCAGCTTTGCCCGGGTTGGTTCTTCAAATTGCACTTCTTTTTTCATTCCAGAGCCAGATCCAGATGCTGGTGTGGATGATGATGTTGCTTGTGCAAAGCTATTGGCAGCTGGCTTGATTGTTGAATCCAAATCAAACCCACGCCATTTCTACATCACGACCAAGGGCGCCAAAAATCTGCAGATGAGGCTTCTAGCTGGGAGCGAGCAATCCTTGGAAGAGTATCACAAGCTTCCTGGCTGCTGTTTCAAGTTGACTGATCACTGATGACTGATGAGACAATGTCAACACTCACTGTGACACCATCAATGTCATCACAGATTTCCTTTGAAAGATTTCCTTTGAAAGGGGTCCTCGGAGTGAAAGGGGTCCTGGCCTGGGCACACCGCCGCGCACGCGCGCTTAAAGAGCTCCAAATTGAAGCTTTTTACGCGCGCGCGCGGCATCCCTTTCTGGGAGGGGGACCTTATGTAACTTACATTTTCTGGGGGGGGTGGGGCCGTGGGGGGGCAGAAAATGTAACTTACAACCGCCGACCGCCTAAAAGGTATCAAAAATACCTGGTTTCGGCAAATCGATCAAACATGCTTTCAGCCAATGGCCGATCCGGGAACATTCAGTTGGAGAGGGGGACATTCGACTGGTGTTCCCAGATCGAACACAGATGTTCCTGGATCGGCCAGTGGAATGTGATATCACATTTTCTATAGGTCCTAGGACGCCTAGGACCTAGGACTGTAATATTACAAATTCTTTCGTAACATCTATAAATGTAAGACTGTAAGTAAGACTACTTACATTTTTAGGTCCGATGTCAAAAATGTAATATTGCATTTTTGACACCTGAAACTGAAATATAGAGAAAATGTAAGTTACATATAGGGGTCCCCCTCCCCTGCTAAAAGGGTGGGGATCGCACGGCGCGCGCGCATCCAGGACCCCATTCACCCCGAGGACCTCTTTCAAGGGAAATCTTGTTATATGTTTGTTGCAATCAACTGGTCAAACAATCAAACATTGGTCAAACTACTTGCTGTTATTCGATTTGGAACTATTGTATTGTTCATTTTATTACCTGGTTTAACCCACAGTCACAGTCAAAGGCAAGAGTTCTCTGAATAACTAGGCAAAAACATCAGTAAAAGCGCAGCTCAGGTCTACATCATCACAGTTGCAGATTCACGAGCAGTCCAGGTTTGAACTCTTTATGATGATGCTTCACTGCGGGTGGGAGGTGCAGGACTTGGATCGGAATGACTTCTTTTCAAAGGGTGATGAGAAGGAATTCACCATCTTGACTCCCGGCGCCGGAAGTTTCCACCGCTCATACCTGCAGGTGTTGCTGCAGTGTGACTGGCTGTTTGAAGCTGGAATCTCGTCCATTTTCCATTGCCAATCAAAAGCTTATTATGATTGCATTTTGTCTTTGGCGAAGATGGGGGCTGCAGAGAACCTGAAGAATCTGAAGCCACATCGACCGGCTGCAGAATACAAACAGATGGTGAAGATGCAGCAGGAACCTGGTGGCGGCAAAGCGAATCGTTCAAAGGGAACTGATCTTCTGCAAGAGGAAGAAGAGCCAAATTTTTTTTGTCGTCCTCAAGAGCCTCAAGGTGATGCTCAACAACACAGCCAAACTTCCAAGACAAGAAGAAAAAAATCGAGAACAGCAGCTGCAGCTGCAGCTGCTCCAAGCTCAGGAGCCAATGCAATTTCTTGCTCAGACAGCGATGCCAGTGATGAACAAGATGGCAAGGCTGCAGTGCAAGAAGGGCCAGACCTACCACCTGGAGCAGTTGCAGGTTCTGGCAATCTTCTGAAAGCGGTGGCAGCTGCATCCCGTTTTTCAGCTCAAGCTCAAGCTGGAAAAGAGAAAAGAAAACAAAGAAAAGTAGATGAAAAGAAAGGAGACGAAGACTTCAAAAATGACAGCCACCGGAAACGCAGGCGCACAGTGCCAGTGAAACAGGAAATGGAAGAATCATTGCCACCAGCTTCATTACCGCCCGAAGTTGCAGAGATTGAAGTTATCAAATCTTCTTCAGAAGATGAAGATGCAGTAGCAGGTGTATATGCAGGCACAGGGCAACACATGGAGCATTCTGCAGCTGCTGACTCAGCTGGTCAGGCTGATGTTTCCGAAGAGACCATATCCGGCCAGAATGTGGACGTCAGCAAAACTCATCTTCCTGCTTGTGATCCAGTGCTTTCTTTAGCAGCAAGCTCACCTGCAGAAGTCTCAGCTTCATCTTCATCATCGAAGGCAGCTGGTCCGGCTGTATCTGCTCCAGCTGCAGCTTCATCGTCATCATCGAAGGCAGCTGGTCCGGCAATGCCTGGAAGTTCTGAAAGAAGATCTATTGAGGATGACAGCGCCCCACGGCTTGAGATTCCAAGACAGCCAGCTGAGCAAGCTCCGGAACCTTCTTCAATGTTCAACATGTCGACTGTCTGGCTTGGCAATATTCCGATAGTGAAAAGGATGGACAAAAGCAGTGTTCCTCGGATTTCTGAAGGGGTAGGTCGATGGTGTAATACCTTGACTTGACTTGGCTTGGCTTGGAATGATTGGATGTTTTTTTTTGTTTTGCCTTGACGTTCAGTGTTAGTGTTGACACATGGTCTTTTTGCAATGTGTGGCAGTGCCCTTGCATCTTGCTTTGAGGTTGCATACTACACTACTTGCCCTTGCCACAAAAGTACTCGAGTTGACGTGCATGGAAAGACCAAAGAACGCAAGTGCAAGAAGGAGATGACAGTGAGTGCAGACGCTTCTGAACCATTGGTCATCAGGATGCTGGCATGGTGGTTGAGTAGCGGTTCCTGTGCAGGACTGGATGACTGGATGATATGTTTTCTTTTGCTTCCTCAAGCCCACAGCTTTAATGGTTGAGTTGGGCCAGTTAGGCTCTGAAACCTTGCTTTATTACACCCAAATGTTTTGACCTGGCACTGGCACAATGCTCAGGCTTTAAGCTGGTGCAGCGTGAGGGTGAGGATGCTGAAGCTCTCCGGAAGCGTCATGTATCCATGGTGCAGGGCTCAGGCTAATAGCTTATTCCCTATGCAGAATCATCAAAACATGAATTCATATTGCCTTCGGCCAAACTCACGGTGTGTTGTTGTTTATTCATGTTTATTCAGCAATGACCTGGGACTCTGGGACTCACTTCTGCAGACTGATTCCTAATCACTTGACTGCTAGGCTCCGCCAAAGACTGATGATGCATTGCCGTCGCTGGAAGAATTGAAGCAGGAAATTGTTCACTATGAAGCTCTAAGCACCTTGGTGGCAAGCTACCCGGTGTGAATTGTGTCATGTTTGTCTTGCTGCAAGTCTTGCTGCCCTTTCATTGGCTGTGCTCGACTTCTGTACTTATTCTTGTGAAAGAAGCAGCAATGCATTTGTCGCACAGAGAAGTTGGGCACAAAACTCAACAGGTTTCTGTTCTTTGGGGGCAAACTGCAAACTGGCAGACGTGCAGCGCAGACCTTTCCATTGTTTTCTGTTGTCCCTTGTCTAAATGGTGGCTAAACTGCCAACAGCTGAAGGTTCTTAGATTTGGCTTGACCATTGCAATCTACAATGAGTGGCAGCGACAGGACCGTCAGACCGATTTATTAGTTTCTGCTGGAAGCTGGGAACATGAACATATTCAATGACATCAATGTAATGAAAGTAGATTATTTTTTTCGCTGTATTAGTTATTTCGTTCCTTGATTCTAGATATTCTTCTGTTGAGGGGCGGTGCTGGGGGGGGGGCAGGACGGTCAATACAGCACGGCAGATTTTTTTTATCTTATTTCCCAAAGAAATTGTCCTCAAAAAAATCTTAAGTTCCAAAATTTTGGAACTTAAGACTTAAGACTCAAAGACTGAAGGATTTTTTTTCGGAACAATTTCTTATTTCCCAAAAAAATCTTAAGTTCCAAAATTTTGGAACTTAAGGATTTTTGTTTTTCGGAACAATTTCTTATTTCCCAAAAAATTCTTAAGTTCCAAAATTTCGGAACTTAAGATTTTTTTGGTTTTTTTTTGTTCAGAACAAGGTTCTGACTTAAGAAAAATTTTTGTTTTTGCAGACATTTCTTTATGTCCCAAAAATCCTTAAGTTCCAAAATTTTGGAACTTAAGAAATTTTTGGGAAATAAGAAATTGTTCTGAAAAAAATAAACAAAATTTTCTTAAGTTCCGAAATTTTGGAACTTAAGAAATTTTTGGGAAATAAGAAATTGTTCCGAAAAAAAATCTTAAGTTCCAAAATTTTGGAACTTAAGAATTTTTTGGGAAATATTTTTTCCGAAAAACAAAAAGCCTTAAGTTCCGAAATTTTGGAACTTAAGAAATTTTTGGGAAATAATAAATTGTTCCGAAAAAAAAACAAAATTTTCTTAAGTTCCAAAATTTTGGAACTTAAGAAATTTTTGGGAAATAAGAAATTGTTCCGAAAAAAAATCCTTAAGTTCCAAAATTTTGGAACTTAAGAACTTTCTGGGAAATAAGAAATTGTTTCGGAAAAATACGAAAAAATTTTCTCCGCCTGCGGCGGGCCTTGAAGGTGAGTTTAGGGTTTAGGGTTGAAAAAGGTCTGCCAAAAATTTGCGAGGGCTTACGCGGGGGGGGCGGACCCCCCTGGCTAGGCAATTTTGTGGCCAAAAAATCCTTAAGTTCCAAAATTTTGGAACTTAAGAAATTTTTGGGAAACAAGAAATTGTTCTGAAAAAAAATCCAAGATTTTCTTAAGTTCCGAAATTTTGGAACTTAAGAAATTTTTGGGAAATAAGAAATTGTTCCGAAAAACAAAAATCCTTAAGTTCCAAAATTTTGGAACTTAAGAAATTTTTGGGAAATAAGAAATTGTTCTGAAAAAAAACAATTTTCTTAAGTTCCGAAATTTTGGAACTTAAGAATTTTTTGGGAAATAAGAAATTGTTCCGAAAAACAAAACAAAATTTTCTTAAGTTCCGAAATTTTGGAACTTAAGAAATTTCTGGGAAATAAGAAATTGTTCCGAAAAAAAATCCTTAAGTTCCAAAATTTTGGAACTTAAGAACTTTCTGGGAAATAAGAAATTGTTTCGAAAAAATACGAAAAAAATTTCTCCGCCTGCGGCGGGCCTTGAAGGTGAGTTTAGGGTTTAGGGTTGAAAAAGGTCTGCCAAAAAAATTGCGAGGGCTTACGCGGGGGGGGCGGACCCCCCTGCTAGGCAATTTTGTGGCCAAAAACTCCTTAAGTTCCAAAATTTTGGAACTTAAGAAATTTTTTGGAACAAGAAATTGTTCTGAAAAAAAACCCTTACGCATTTTTTAAGTTCCGAAATTTTGGAACTTAAGAAATTTTTGGAAATCATAAATTGTTCCGAAAACAAAAAAAAACAAAATGTTTCTAAGTTCCAAAATTTTGGGCACTTAATAATTTTTGGGAAATAAGAATTGTTCCGAAAAACAAAAACTCCTTAAGTTCCAAAATTTTGGAACTTAAGAAATTTTTTGGAAACAAGAAATTGTTCTGAAAAAAAATCCAAGATTTTCTTAAGTTCCGAAATTTTGGAACTTAAGAAATTTTTGGGAAATAATAAATTGTTCCGAAAAACAAAAAAAACAAAATTTTCTTAAGTTCCAAAATTTTGGAACTTAAGAAATTTCTGGGAAATAAGAAATTGTTCCGAAAAAAAATCCTTAAGTTCCAAAATTTTGGAACTTAAGAACTTTCTGGGAAATAAGAAATTGTTTCGAAAAAATACCAAAAAATTTTCTCCGCCTGCGGCGGGCCTTGAAGGTGAGTTTAGGGTTTAGGGTAGAAAAATGTATGTCAAAAGTTTTGCGAGGGCTTACGCGGGGGAGCGGACCCCCCTAGCTAGGCAACTTCGTGGTTTGGAAGGTGAGTTAACGGTTTAGGGTTGAAAAAGGTCTGCTAAAAATTTTGCGAGGGCTTACGCGGGGGGGGCGGACCCGGACCCCCTGGCCCCTTGGCTACTAGGCAACTTTATGGTATGGAAGGTGAAGGTGGGTTTAAAGTTTAGGGTAGTTGTAGTCGTAGTTGTAGGCGGCTATAGGCTGTAGGCAGGCTGTAGGCTGTAGGCTGTAGGCTAGGCTAGGTCTAGGTCAAGTTGTATTTGTGGCAAAACATGTTCCCGGCTTGCTCGGAAAATAAATTTAGGGCGCATTTGAAGCGTACTGCATGGGGCAATGGGGCCTGTTGACCTTGACCTATTAGTTTCGGTTTCCATCTTTTTTTCATCACAGTTGCTTCGAAAACAATATTTTGCCCTGGCCCTTGCCACTTGCCACATGCTTCAACGCTGTTTTGGGTCACGAGTCACCAGTCCGGGCTGGCTGACAGCTAAAGGCTTTCCAACCAACCTGTGAATTGACTCAGCAAAAAAACGGATCTGAGGCACAAAAGTTAGACCGCTCTAAAACTCCTGCACAGAGACAGAATCACATAATGAAATGGAACCCCGATTCCCGATGCTGAGTGCGTGTTTCTGAAGCTGTGCAATTTGCAATGCAATTTATTACAATTTTTCCCAGCCGTACCCTGCACTGAAAACTAGTCAATGTCAACGCAAGGCGTGGGCGTAGACGAAGGTCCGTGGGGCAACCTAGAATGACATGTTTATGGCTGCCTGCAGACTCCAGACTCCAGACCAGTATCAAATTTTAATATCAGATTCAGGGCCTGGCCTGCCAGACATATATCAGAATCCAATCATATGTCATGCGCAGCCATTTTGGCCAAATTCGTTTCTTGCAATTTTTGCCCTGTTTTGTGATTTTGTGAGGGGGCCATGTCTGACAACCCGGGTTTTGAACACCCGCTGTCCCGTTTTCTTCGCAGAGAATCGGAACGATTGCAAGCCCAAAGAGAATCTCAAAGAGAAGAACCAGAAGAAGAGCCAACTATTACATGGTGTTCTACCAGCACATTGCCTGGAGACTCACTGGGATCAGTCAATTTCGAGGATCGCCTCGTGCTGATTTTCAACCATGGACATTGGGTGGCCATTCAAAGGCGCCATTGGACATTCATAGTTGATAGTTTGAACTCACATGAGAGAAGGGAGTACAGGGAATATTGAACATATATTAGATTCTGTTACTGTTGTAATATTCAAATTGTTGTTTAAATTAAATCCAGCCATGGGCCATGACGTCTCAATAATGTTTGTATTTACTCCATTCTCTCCTGCCACCCTGGATATTTTTTTGGAAACCTTTTTATTAGCCTCCACGGAATCGACCTGGAAAAAATCCGGGAATGGAATAGCTCTAGCCGCTCGCCTCCACGGAATCTACCTGGAAAAAATCCGGGAATGGAATAGCTCTAGCAGGCGGTCTAGCCTCCATGGAATCGACCTGGAAAAAATCCGGGAATTGAATGGAATAGCTCTAGCAGGCTGTCTAGCCTCCACGGAATCTACCTGGAAAAAATCCATGTAGCTGCCAGGAATGGAATAGCTCATAGCTCTGATAAAAAATGTGTTGATCGACTGATCGACTGATCGACTTGTTGCAATCAATGCATCCATCCACCACAGTCATGAT